CCCCCCCGGCCCCCAGAATTGTGGGGTTTTGTTTTTTGGCTTTTTATTGATTTCAGAGAGAGAGAAACGTTGATGAGAGAGTCGTTGATCGGCTGCCTCCTGCACGCCCCCTACTGGGCATCGAGTACGGCCCTGACTGGGAATCGAACCCTGACCTCCCAGTTCATGGGTCGATGCTCAACCGCTGAGCCACGCCGGCCGGGCTCAGATATGCTTTTAAGAGGGGAAAGAAAAAAGCCTAAGTCCCAGCTGCCCCAGAATGGGCTTAAGGACAGAGGCCTGGGGTCAGAAAGCTGCTTGTGACTTGGGGATCTGAACACCCAAGAAAGACACTCAGTGACATATTCCTGAGGTCGTCCCATTGAGTTGTCAGGATTCTGTGCTAAGAACTGCAGGGTGACGAGAGGCGTGTGCCTTGAGGTAGAGAACAGCCCCCTAGAACCGGGGACCAGGGAGACGCGTGTCCCGTGAGCGTGGTCCGACGCTGGGGGTGGGAGGTGCCAGGTGCCAGGGCCCCGCACGAGCTCCCCCGGGTACCCTCTTGCCTCAGGTCTGCACCTGGAGTGGACTGAGCCTTGGCGAGGAGGTGGAGGGCATGGTGGCGGGTGGTGACTTGTGTCTGCTGAGGCCCCGCGCACCCTTGTCTTCCAGATCCTGCCCAGCTTGCGGGCCAGTGGCGCCATGCTGGACGTGGTGGACACCTGCTCCATGCTGTACCGGCTGCAGATGGAAGGTGGCCAGACCCGTGCTCTCCCCATGGGTTCCTCTCCCCTCCCTCCCCCGTGATGAGGGGCCAGGGCTGTGCCGGAGCTCGTGAGCGAGGCCCTCCAGGTCCCGCTGCAGGTCTTGGGTCGTGTGCCCAGCTGTGGCCTTGGGCACCAGGGCCGCTGCTGTCTCCCAGCTGCCTGAGCCCGTGGGACCAGGCCACCACTGCCCTTTCCTCCAGTCCCCTCCCCGGCCGTGTGCAGGCCTCGGGCCCCATGCCCAGGGTGGCCCCTGCCGTTCCCACAGCCTGCCCACCAGGTCTGTGGGGCACAGGTGGCACCTGGCTGCCTGTCTCCGGGTGCTGCCTCCTTTTCTAGAACAAGGGAGGCGAGGGTTTCTCAAACACCTGGGATTTCACAGCCGTTTCTCAACAGTCACCCTGTGCCCTGTGCGTAGCCTGAGGTCGGCTGCAGTTCTGGGGGAGACCTAGGGTTTCCAGTCAGCTGCTAGGGTGCCCGGTGGGTCTCCTACTCCCCCAGGCCCAGCAGAGCCAAACCTGGACCCACCCTACACCCTGCAGGACAGTGTGGGGTGAGACCAGGGCAGGGCGTGCAGTTCAGGAGGGATCCTGGAAGGCTTCCCAGTGGAGGTGAAATGTGAACCATGGGAGGGCACGTAGGGTTTCGCCAGGCAGAGATGGGAAAGGATGTTGCAATCGGAGAGCAGCCTGTCCAAAGCCCCCAGGACACAGAGCCCGCAGCCTGTCGTGAGGACACGTGGCTGGAGGGTGGGGGCAGTGTGGCCACATGGAGCAGAGGAGGCTGGGAGGTGGTGGGAGCTGGGAGCCCTGGGGAGGGTCAGGGTGGGGAGGTTGGCTTTCCTCCGGGTCTTAGAGGAGCCTGCTGGGCAGGGATGGACAGGCTCCATCTGCCCCTGAGAACGATCCTCTGAGCAGTGGGGGCTGAGCCGGGGGAAGCTGAGGCCGGAGGCTGGAGGAGCAGCGAGGAGGTCGGGAGATCCCGAGGAGCCCTGAGGGTCGGGGAGTGAGCCGGGGATCCGTGAGGAGCCTGCTGCACTGTCTAGGCGGCTTCTGGACGTCCAGGTGGCAAGGCTGGGACACTGGAACCTGGTCTGGTGGGAGGTCTGTGTCCCTGGTCCAGCCGAAACCACCCAGAACTGTAGGGGGCAGGGCGAGGGCAACTCAGAGGCTGGGGGGTGAGGCAGGGGTGCTGGGGCAGGTGGAGGGAGGGAAGACAGACCACTAGCTCCCTCGGTACGGAGTGGAGACCCAAGGGCCACGTGCAGCGTTGACCAGCTGAGAAAGAGAGTCAGGGGCAACGTCTAGGTGTGGAGGTGCCCACGGGAGAAGCAGGGGAATCCGGTGGCTTCCAGGAGTCGGGAGGACAGGAGGTGGGGGTGGTGTCCGCGAGTGGATCAGGAGGAGGGACTGTCTAGGGTTGGGAAATGTGGACACAAAGGGAAGGAGGCTATCTATCCGGCAGGTTTTTGTTGAGCACCTACTGTGTATCCGGTGCTGGACCAGCAACAACACAGGAAGAATTTAAGAAGTGGTTTGAGGATTTGTTAAGGGCGCCAGAGACAATTTAAAACCCTCCAATAGTTCCTCCCTGCTTTCCTTCCTTTCTTATATATTTTTATTGATTTCAGAGAGAGGAAGGGAGAGGGAGAGAGAGAGAAACGTCAATGATGAGAGTCATTGATCGGCTGCCTCCTGCACGCCCCCTGCTGGGGATCGAGCCCGCAACCCGGGCCTGTGCCCTGACCGGGAATCAAACCGTGATCTCAACCACTGAGCCACGCCGGCTGGGCTCTGATCGTTTTTAAAATTAGCTTTCTACCTTCTGCATCTATTGCTTTTATAATTGAACAAAGGTAACATAAACTGGGCCCAAGGCCTCAGCACGAGGCCAGACCCTGCCTGCCAGCCCTGCTCACCCGCCCACCTTCCTCACCCGGAGCAGGGTCCTAAGGGCCCCATGGCTGTGCAGGTGCAGGAGGCCCGGGCGCGGGATGCATGCGGGAGCCTCACACTGCGCTGTGGCTTTCCTCCCGTGTCTTTAGGGGTGGCTGTGGGCGAGCGGTGGCGGGATGTCCTGCCCGTGACCCAGAAGCACAGCCGCGACCACATCCTGCTGTTCAACGACGCACACTTCCTGATGGCGTCCCTGGGCGCTCGGGACACCCAGACCACGCAGGAGCTGCTGACCACCCTGCAGGAGGCCAGCGAGTATGTAGAGGGCCAGGGTTCTGGCCTCAGCTAGGGAGGCTGGGGGTGGGGTCCCATCGGTGAGCACAGCCTTGGGGATGCGCGTGGAGGGCTGCTTCCAGGTGTGTGCCCACAGGTGTGCACCCTCCATTCTCCAGGTGGGTACCCTCCAGATGTGCACGCCGTGGGTGGGTGTACCCTGCAAGGGTGCTGTGGTCTCTCCCAGGACACAGTTGCCTCTCCATCCCCAGGGTGGGTGTGAGAGCCTCCATGGCACTGGGCAGCCTCCCACGGGGACACGGTGGGGTCCCAGAACCAGAGAGACCCGCAGCTGAGGAGACAAGCACTTCTCTTCTCTGAGCCTCAGTTTCCCTATGTGCAAACCGGGGCCAGTGCCTGCTGAGGCAGGCTGCTAGGACAGTGACACGCCCCACTGGCAGGCTCCTGGCACTCGTGGGAGCCGTTTCCCATCACAGTGGAGGCCAGAGGGAGGCCAGGGGGCGGGTCCTCCACAGCACAGTCCATGAGATGCGGCCACCCCTCCTCCCCCACCTGGAGACTCGAGTCCTGAGGGTCCACAACCCCTGTGGTTCGTCCTGAGGCCTGGTGGAGGGTAACCGCTGTCATAGCTCGGGCTGGTCACCACCAGGGCCACTTGTCCTGCCTCTCCCCCAGGCGAGGTGGCCAGGGAACGCTGAGTATCTGATTCCTGCCTTTGAGAGAGGCTTGGAGCAGGCTGCTGCCTCCGGCCCCCCGTGCTCAGGACCCACGTCACAGGCGCATGCGGGCCAGTGGGAGACACGGGCCTCCACAGCTTTCTAGTCCCCGTGTCACTCCTGCCATCCAGTCCTGGTGTTGCTGCCAGTTTCAGTGCCAGGCCTCCCTTTGCCTGCATTGCCCGCAGTCCTCTGACAGCCTGCGAGCTCCTCCCACTTTACAGATGGGCAAACAGAGGCCAGAAGTTGGGGGACCAGCCCAGGGCCAGGTCGCTAGGAAACGAGTTCAACCCCGTTGGACTGAGTTTAGAGTCCTGTTCTCTCCTTCCTGCTGTTTCTCTGTCAACTCCCCCAATCAAAGCTCCTACTGTGTGTCAGGCACAGTGCCAGGGACACCGGGCTGAGCAGGCGGGAGACAGCTGTGCTGTGAGGGGGCTGGCCACTGAGGGCACCTTCTTGGGCTGGTAGGTCCCCCGGGGAGAACTGCCAGCACCTCCTGGCCCGCGACGTGGGGCTGCCCCTGTGCCAGGCCCTGGTGGAGGCCGAGAGTGGAAACCCCGACCGCGTGGTGGAGCTCCTCCTGCCCATACGCTACCGGATCGTCCAGATCGGAGGCAGCAACGCCCAGGTGAGCCTCCCGCCTCGGGCCGCCTGCCAGGAGCCCCCGTGCCCAGCAGCCCCGTCTCCCCNGTGGAGGGTAACCGCTGTCATAGCTCGGGCTGGTCACCACCAGGGCCACTTGTCCTGCCTCTCCCCCAGGCGAGGTGGCCAGGGAACGCTGAGTATCTGATTCCTGCCTTTGAGAGAGGCTTGGAGCAGGCTGCTGCCTCCGGCCCCCCGTGCTCAGGACCCACGTCACAGGCGCATGCGGGCCAGTGGGAGACACGGGCCTCCACAGCTTTCTAGTCCCCGTGTCACTCCTGCCATCCAGTCCTGGTGTTGCTGCCAGTTTCAGTGCCAGGCCTCCCTTTGCCTGCATTGCCCGCAGTCCTCTGACAGCCTGCGAGCTCCTCCCACTTTACAGATGGGCAAACAGAGGCCAGAAGTTGGGGGACCAGCCCAGGGCCAGGTCGCTAGGAAACGAGTTCAACCCCGTTGGACTGAGTTTAGAGTCCTGTTCTCTCCTTCCTGCTGTTTCTCTGTCAACTCCCCCAATCAAAGCTCCTACTGTGTGTCAGGCACAGTGCCCGGGACACCGGGCTGAGCAGGCGGGAGACAGCTGTGCTGTGAGGGGCCTGGCCACTGAGGGCACCTTCTTGGGCTGGTAGGTCCCCCGGGGAGAACTGCCAGCACCTCCTGGCCCGCGACGTGGGGCTGCCCCTGTGCCAGGCCCTGGTGGAGGCCGAGAGTGGAAACCCCGACCGCGTGGTGGAGCTCCTCCTGCCCATACGCTACCGGATCGTCCAGATCGGAGGCAGCAACGCCCAGGTGAGCCTCCCGCCTCGGGCCGCCTGCCAGGAGCCCCCGTGCCCAGCAGCCCCGACTCCCCGAGGAGTCATCCCACAGTGTGGGGGTGTCCTTACCTTCACCCGCCAGTCTGTGCCTGAGAACAGGCAGTCTGCAGTGGGTGGGGCGGTCCCCTCCTTCTTCCCCCGTCATGGGAACCTGACCTGCTGGTTGACCTTCCAGAGGGACATCTTCAACCAGCTACTGGTCCACGCGGCCTTACAGTGCACCTCGGGCGCCCACAGGAACGTGGCTCGGTGAGTCCCTCGCTTGGTCCCTAAGCCAGGCTTGGAGGGTTTTCAGGTCACAGCTCTCACACGGGGTCTCCCCATGGGCTTCCGCATGCTTAGCAGGCTCTATGTCCCCTGGTCTGAGGCGGTTCCTACCTTTGAGGTTATGAAGACACAGGCTATGGGGGTGCTTGGATCTTTGTTGTTGTTCAACTTGACCAAAGGAGACCAGCCCCTCCTTATTCTAGCCACACTGAGCTATAGTTACCCGAACCTGTCCTGCTCTTTCAGGCCCCTGGGCCTTTGCACGTGCTGTGCCCTCCGTCTTGGATACCTGTTCTCCTTCCTCACCTGGCTGCCACCAGCCAATCCTTCAGGCCTCAGTTCTGTTCTCCTGCCTGACTGTGCTGGGTGCCAGGAGGCATGGTGGGCAGGCAGACCCAGGCCTCGGCTTCCTGGAGCTTACCTCCTAGGTGGGCACTGGTCCTAAGCAAATATCTTAAAACTGCCACAAAGGCAGGCATATTGCTCTGAGATGCTGTGACTGAGGCACTGAGCAGGCAGGGAGTCAGGGAGGGAGGGTGCCCCCTGGAAGTGATAGCTCAGGGAGGCCTGAAGCCAGGGGACTTAACCAGACCAGGATGGTCTGGTTGGGACAGGGGCTGGAGGGATATAGTTGGAGGACTGGGGGTGCTGGAGAGCAGCCTTGGTTGTTGCTCTGCATGTGCTCCTGAGGTGAGATGTGAGGCCCCTCCTTGCCCGGGTCCCCTGTGCTCTGTTGGAACACCAAGGGAAGGGGAAAGAAAGGAGTTGAAGGGTGCCAGGTGGGCAGAATGGCCGTAGGGAGATAGTCTGGGGCCAAGGAGGCCCTTGGCTGGGCCTTGAGCCCAGATGCAGAGCCCCGGGGTCTAGGCACAGGCTTAAGTGGCCCGCAGTAGGCGAGGCCCAGCTGCCCGACAGCGTTCCCACAGAGCCTGCAGGTGCTCGGGGGGCTGATGAAATAGGCGTGGGCTCACGGAATTGGTGGAACTCTGAGGTGTCTGGGACACATGCCTGTGCTCCTCCCCCTCCACAGCCACACACAGAAGCCACCTGTATTGCTTTAGCAGCTCCTGGCCCTGGTGGCATCATGGGGACACTGTAAAGATCCTCTCCAAACACTGATGCCCCCACTACATGCCTGCACCGTGCAGGTTCGCTGGGCTCTGGACGTCTAACCTTTCCCATCCTCCCACCTCCTGCCTTCTCTCTGGTCTCTGGCCAAGGCGAGGCCTCCTGCCTGGGCTTTTGTCAGCCTGTCCCCTCTGCCCTAATGCTGTCCCCTCTCCAGCAACCTGGGAAGGGGAGTGTCTTGCTCTCTGACCACCTCAGCCCCAGCCCAGGCTGCCTGTGTCCTGCCTCAGGGCTGAGGGGCCACCGGGCCCCCATATCCTTCCAGGAGGTTCCACCGCAGCCCATCTGTTTCTGCAGGAGCCTTCTGATGGAGCGCGACGCCCTGAAGCCCAACTCGCCCCTGACGGAGCGGCTCATCCGCAAGGCGGCCGCTGTCCACCTCCTGCAGTGACACCTGCTGCCCCAGCTGCCAGATGGGCTGCCCCGCTGGCGTCCTAGGCTTAGGAGACATGCCCAGTAGTTAGGCCTGCTCGGGGAGTCTGCAGCTTTAACCAGAAAGTTCTGTGGCCCGCAGCTACAGGAAGAGGGGCCGCTAATCTATGTAAACACGATTCAGAATCTTCTGCTAGTTCTTGTTAAGGGCCAAGGTGCAGTTTTACGTGGTCAGAACCGATGTGGGTGCTGCTGTTAACCACGGGCCTTGCAAACTGTATTTTCTCAGGGGACCTTGCACCTCCTGGTTGTTCAAGGGTTGGAAGCAGGGGTGGGGTGTGGGGGTGGCTCAGCTGGGGAGGAGAGTCTTCACAGCCCCTGGGGGCACCCCCATCCCAGGCTGCCCATGGGATAAACCCTCGTCTTCCAGGCAGGTTCTATTGTGCATTTTGGGGGTGAGGGAACCAATGAGGGCGGCAGTGACTTGCCCAGGTCACAGCTAGTGGAGGCCCTGCAGAGACTTGCCTCAGGCTGCTGTCCTCCCTGGAGGAGGGGACCTCCTCTCAGCCAGCCACCTCGGCCCAGCTGCAGTGCCCATGCCCTCCTCACGGGAGCACACGCCCATGGGTGCCCCTCTGCTGCCCCTGCGAGCTGCCTGGGGCATTTGGTGATGCCGATGTGGGCTTGTTTTCTCTTTATTCCGAACTGTGCCTTGTGAAGGGGCCTCGGTACATGGTTTCCTCTGTGGGCTGTGACTTCAGTCCAACGGCGCAGTGCACTGAGCGGGCACTGAGCTGGCGTGCCTTCTGGGGAGTAAGGGTTGAACTCTGGTTGCCCCGTCGTGGCAAAAACCAAAGCATTGTGACATGTGGCTTCAACAAGCGCTGTCTCGGGTCCTGCTTCCAGGTGTTAAGCTAGCCCCACGTCCCTCCTGAGGAGCCGCAGGTTTCGGTTTAATGTGTCCAACAGCGAGGCCTGCCTGCCGGTGAGCAGGACCCCAGAGAGGCTGCTGGGAGATGGCCTGACCCTCCTTTGAGCCCCTCTCTCTATGCAGGCCTGAAGCGGGCCACTCCTGGACTTTTATATTCCTTGAGCCAATAAATTCTCCTCTTTCTAAAGCCCACGTGAAGCTGTTTTTTGTTTTGTTTTTTTTTCCTGTTTCTTGCACCCAAAGGCTCTTGACCAAGACCTGCAGCTGGGATTTGCACCTGGGTCTTTCTGGCACCAGCTCTCTTCTCCAGCTAAGAAGGATCCTGAGCAAAAGATGATGGGTGGGAAAGGAAGGGTCGGGGGCCCAGCACATCGGAACACGGTGGGGGTGAAGACAGAGGCTGCAGAGGGAGCCCCTAGATAGAAAAGATGTGTCAGGGGTGCCACGACCAGCCAAGGGGAATGCAGAGTGCAGGCCGGGATCCCTCCAAGCTACTAACCCCCACCCCCCCTCG